GGGTCCTGTATTTGGGTCATAACAACCGCAGGCAACTCTACAAGCTTGGGGAAGAGTGGCTGGAAACCTGCCCAGTGGAAAGGGACCTGATCATATTTCCAGAAATATCCAGATATTCAGGAACATGGAGCTTGTAAATAATCCTCTAACCCTTACTACATGCCTGGATCTCTCACAGCACCTAGCACCTCTGCATCCCCATCAGACTAGCATCCAGACATCAGCAACTCCTCTCCATTAGCATCTATCAGTAATTGGGCTAAGCCTAAAAAAACAGAGTGAAAAAACTTTGTCACTCCTGCATGATGAAGTAGAGTAAGAAAAAGGAGCTGAGGTCACACAACCAAACAGTTAAGAACAAGCCTGGTTTTCCATTAAATCTGGGATGCAAATTTCTCAATGAATAGAGCTTGCAAAAATTGGCTATTGCATTGCAGCAGCCACTTGTCAGGAGATCCCTGACCACAGCTCTGAAGCACCAGTGATTTCACCTGAATTTGCTAGGTTCTCTCCTGTGATTTCTCAATAATTGTTTTCCTTCTTTAATCTTTTCTTCCTCCTGGTTGAGTTTTCCTGGTGGGAAGGTCCAAACTTATCCTGGTCCCCCAGCCTTCTGCTAGCTCAGCCTGGGAGCATTGATGTTTAATGCCCTAGACGATGAGTAATCTGTTCTCACGACTGTGCCTGGACCCCCAAGAGGTAATTAAGCTGGTGCTACTGGGTGGAAGGTAATTGCACGATGATTCCTCCAGATGGCCAAATCTTTTCAGGAACATGTGTTCCCGTTGCCTGTGGGGCTGAACAACCTCACGGAGCTCCATGTGAACAACCGTACGGCACAGCCAGGATGCTTCGTGGCTGTTGCTGCATCTGTGGGTGGATCAGCAAAGGCTGAGCAGGAAACAATCCAAAGCATTGCTGGGGACAAACAGTTGGAGGCCTCCTACTGCAAGGACTGTCTTTTCTCTCCAGTCCACTAATCTGCTTCAAATTAGAGAGCATGGGTGCAAGTTTATCATCAGAGGACTGTGCCTTCCTGATGGCTGGAAGGAATGGAGAAACATCACGGGGTTGTGATCCCTGGCAGGGCTGGCTTGGGTGCCCCACAGCTCACTGGGGACAGGGTAGTGTCCATGTGGTGCCCACAGCACTAAGGGCTTTTCAGTACAAAGTTCACTGAACACTCACTGTGACACTGCTGAGAAAACTTGCACCTGATACTGCAGGTCTGTTCATGGGGGCATGTGAGAGACAAGGATTTCTGGAAGACTTTTCTCTCCAGGTGCTACAGAGAGTAGGAAGGGACAGATGTGTTACAGCATTACCCAACTTCACCATTTTATTTAACTTCTCCATAATCAGTGTTTGGTTTTGGGTTTTTTTTTATTCTTTGAGCCTCTCTCCTGCAGTAAGGACACCCTTAGGTTTCTTTTTTTAAAAAAATTAACCCTTAGAGGTAGCTTGAGTGTCATGACCCTCTAGCAAAATTGAAGGAAAATGTTGAAGAACTGCACAACATAGTAAATTTTAAAGTTCTCATGACTCCTGGGGAATCAACATTGCCCTGATGGCATTTCCAGGAGCAGGTGTGCTCCTTGAGAGCTGGTGCTGGGAGAGAGTGCTAGAAGAGCCACAGGGAGAGGGGTGACCTAAACTGCAGAGTGTGGAGCTTCCCCAGCATTGTGTGGATTAGCATCTAAGCAGTCCTGATGCTCTCTCTGTTTTGGGGTAGCTGATAGCTCCAAGGGAGGTTCAGATCAACCTCCATCCATGTTGTCCTGCTGCCTGCTCTGGCTGTACCCCAGCCATAGTAGCCTGTCTATACAAACACACCGT